GATCAGAAAGAAATCATATTTGTTACACTTCATCTGTGAGAATCATTTGGATTATGTTATTCCTACACATAGATTTTATAACATCAAAATTTAATTCTCTACCAATTATCCACAAGGCTAATATTTTTGCTAAGAATTTTTTGTACTTAAAAAAGGTATTACCAAAAGAAAAAAATTAAATCAATGATCAAAATGAGAATTCTTAGGAGCAAGAGTAGTGAACAAAGCTCTAAGAGCCTACTTCAATTCTTTAAAGTGCACAGCACAAAATCAATTTGCAGTGACCCCGAGAATCAGTCTTCCTCGCTACATGACAACAAAAGAAATAGGGGATGAAAACAAATTAAAGTAGGTTCTTAAAAGTCCTTTTTGCCTTCCCCAGGTTCCAGGGTATCACTGAGGCAGGAAAGCTTTGCAGCACAGCACCTAAATGTTTATCAATATTACTGTATCTTTTCATGGCAGTGACTTCTAAGCAGGTTTTAGGTTGTGGTTCCTTTTCTGAATTCTCTTTCATTCTCATTGCTTGTTTAATCAAGAGGAAATCTGTTTTGAGAGATTGTTATTGACGTAGCACCATGCTAAGTGATTGAGGGAAAAAAATAATTGATGTAATGTTGACAAGCACCAAGCAGAGAATAGTGTGAGTGGGTAATTGGATACGTGTCCAGGAGACAAGAGCGGAGAGCCAGAAGTGGAAGACACAGTTTCAGGTCACACTTCCTATATATTAGCTCATTTAACACCAGTACCTTAAAAAAAAAAGGCAGAGTTCTAATTCTAATTCTAGTTTACTGACAAAGCAAATTCACTTTAAAAGAGAGTTGCAGTCTGGCAGTGGTGGCACAGGCTTTTATTTCCAGCACTTGGGAGGCAGAGGCAGGCAGATCTCTGTGAGTTCAATGCCAGCCTGGTCTACAAAGCTAGTTCCAGGACAGCTAGGGCTGTGGCACAATGAAGCCCTGTGTCACAAAACAGAGGTGGGAGGGAGAGAGAGAAAGAGAGTTGCAATAGACAGGACTTACATTTGACCCTACATGCCTTTATTTCCTAATCCAAATATTAAGTCACTAACCTGCAAAGCTTCCCTGGTTCAAATATGATAATTGAATGATGACATTTAATCTGGGCCAGAAAGGATTTAAAGGTGTGTAAAATGAAAAAAGGAATTCCAGAGTAACAAAGAACCCATGGAGGACAGTGCACAGTACCCCCAGAGATGACACAGATTATAGTTAAGTCGTACAGAGTACTCATCTGACAGCGAGCACTATGATAACTGCCTCCCACACATTAATTTATTGCACACTCACAATGACACCCTCATGTGAAATGTTGTTACCATCCCTATTATAAATGAAGAAAGTAAGGCTCAGAGAGACCAAGAACATAGTCCAAAGTCAAGCAGCTAGCAAATGGCAGAGATGGCCTGAGTGACCAGACCTCCAAGCCTAACCTCTATCCTCCTATACCCTGGGCACAGACATTCCTCCCTAGAGTCTAGTTATGAAGTGCAGGGGAAGAAACAAGGTGAGGCAACTACTGCACAAAAGTAACTGAAGTCAAGATGAAAAAGTGCATCATCTCCCGTGTTTCTAGTCTTTGGTGGCTATCATCATCACCACCACCACCACCATCATCATCATGATCATCATCATTTACTTTTCTCATAGGAAGGATAAACTAAGCTCACAAAGAGCTCTTAAAAAGATAACTTTGGAACAAAGAGAAATGTGGATTGGGGGAGATAAATTCTCAAGGCACTTTGTTTTATTAAGAGCAGATTTACAAATAAACGAATATATACAAAGCGTATACAAAGATCATACATATTATATACACATATGCATGCAAAACACACACAACACACATTTGTAAATGATACAGATCACATACACTTTTATAAAAATCATACAAACATATACACATATACCATATCTATACATAGATAGGTATATCACAGCACATTGACAAATATGCCATTGTTGTGGAAAGTCCTTCTGTATATGTGTTGTTTTTATTGCTTAATGAATAAAGAATCTGTTTTGGCTAATGGCTTAGCAGAGAAGAGCTAGGTGGGGAAAACTAAACTGAATGCTGGGAGAAAGAAGGTGGAATCAGAAAGATGCCACGTAGCTACCAGAGGGAAAAGACACTAGCTATCAACTGGAATCTTCCTGGTAGGCCACAAGCCTCATGGTAAAATACAAAATAATGGAAATACATTAATTCTAGATGTAAGAGTTAGCTAGCAATACACTTAAGTAATTGGCCAAGAAGTGATTTAAATAATATAGTTTCTGTGTGATTATTTTGGGTCTGGGCAGCTGGGAACTAACAAGCGGCCTCCTACAACATACCATATACATTTATAGTCCCATACACATATGTATATACATTGCATCATACCATACAATTCCTCTCAACTAGGTACCACATACCTAGGCCCCTCTACTTATAAAAACTTATATATAAACCACACACACAATCCTATATTCATTTACCTCTCACATGCCACTCACATGTGTGTGTATGTGTGTGTGAATACATGTGTGTGAAGACTATGCAAAGAAAAGAAATGGATACACATAAACATGAGGAATATATGTGTGTGTATCCATTCCCTTCCTTTGCATATGAGGTATGGACTCGAAAGGCAGTGGTCATTGAAATGTATTTATATAATTTGCTTTCTGTCTCCCCGTCACACAGAGAACACTCTTCAGAATTCTCAGCCTTCAGGAAAAGAATGCTCCACACTTTCACCTTTCATGCTATGGCTCAATATTAGAACTGTTAGATCTGGACTCCTGTGGATTTTTTTTTTCAGCATGAAATAATGTGAGGCAAGGTGTTTAGGCGTGATGGCAGCATGGTCCTGCACTTTGCAGATGATATTGTGATCGTTTATGGCCCAAATTAAGCAGCATATTTTGGTGTCCTTGCTTTCATCCAACTTCCTAATAGAAACCAGCTGTTTTAAACCTGGACCGTGGGAGCGTTCTGATCACACTGGACAACCTCAAGAAAAGAGAATCTAGTAGTACTAAATGGAGACTTTAAATAGACATCATGTTTAATTTTACATATTACTTTGTATAATAAATGTAGAGATATATTATCTACTATTTGTAATAATAACATATCTGCATCTAAACAAAATGAAAATATTCTTGACTCAAAACAACTGCCACCTTGATGGCAGATTACATGCAAAGTGTGGCTTGTGTTCCTCAATTCTTTTTAAGGCGTCAGAAAATTCTGGAAAGCAAAAACCACATTTCTGAGCAAATATGGTTTAAGTTTCACTGAGGGACTGTGAAAACTACATCCTGTGGAACACACACGGGATATTTACAGGAAATGTGCTCTGAGATACTGAGCCTCTTTGGTCTGAATGGAAGATCACATTTTCATATTTTAAGGTCAAATTACATCAGCTTCTTTCCAGTAAAAAAAAAAATAAATAAATAAAAGCATCATCCTAGAATGTTAATATCTTTCAAGGCCCGGAGCCTCGCAATTGTGATCTCTCGGGATGATTCACTGAGGCCGAGACTGATGTGCTGCAGTAGCTGCTTAGTGCCCCGAGTTGTGCTGCGGAGAAAGGGATTTCCAGGATAAACCATTTGCAGGAGAAATTCAATCTGCAGCCCTTATTTTCAGAACATACATTTAGAGTAGAAGAAAGAACCCTCCAACACACACACACACACACACACACATATTCCCCTTGTCTTATATTTTTCAGATTTACTGGCCTAATTTAGAACTTTGGCCTTTATGATTAAATAAAATCATTTCAATGAAAGAAATGACCAAAGTGATTTATCAGAGTGTCCTCTCTCCATACTGTTCCCTCTCCTCACTATAGACTTTGTGGCATTGTTATGTTTACAGAACCACATACAAAATATATTTAATAACCATTTCCTGGGCCCCACTCTGCCCGCTGGAGAATGATACACAACACTGGAGGAGATCTCCCATTTGTCCTCGGTGTGCCTGAAATTCAGCAGCAGAGATAAGGTACTCATGAGACTATCTAAGGAACAAAATCACAGTCAGAAGAACAACCGGGGTGGTACCCGTGGCTTTAAGAACACAAGCTGGAGTCAAAAAGGCTCTTGCATGCTTCCAACAACAGGAAATGAAATTCTCATTTCAGGACCATAAACTTGAATTCTGTTGAGGGACATTTTGGCTGCTGCGGCAGATGTTTGGGACCCCACGCTAGAAATAGGGAGTGTTAATGATTACAGGTGGTTATCACACCAAAATGACAAACAGCAATAACGGACAAAAAAAATCCATAAAAACCTGAGTGGCTTCTGCTAGGTTTTCTGGCATACTTTCAAACTGCAAAAGGTTGCTCATAAATTATCTTTCAAGTTGATTTCCTTTCTCTCTGTGTGCTTGTGAAACGCTTTAATGAGCACCCACACCACCCTGGTGGAATTGGGAGTTAGCATTATTTGTGGGAAACAGGTGAGGGTGTTGCTCAAGCACATACCTTAGTGAAAAACGTTTCCACCACAGAAAACATTAGAGAACTCACTAATCTCTTGAACTGGAGGCCACCACAGCAGCTATCAGAGCAGGAAGGTTTAGGTCACTGGGGACTTTTTCGTATGGAGTTATACGAGTGACTCCGAGTCTTCCAGATCCATTCTGGGTACTCACATTCCTTCTTCATTCTGCTGGCGTGAGCAACCTGAGTCTCCTGCACAAAATCACATCCATATCTGTCACGAGAAAGAGTCAAACTGGATCAGAGGCAGCACTTCCGCCCACACGCTGTGTGGGGAAAAGGCACCACTGTTAGTATTCCTGCCAAAGATGGAGCAACCTAGGTCTATAGGTTAAGTAAATGCTGTATCAAAATTGCCAGCCTAGAGGGGAAATAGCAGTATATGCCATTTGCAGAACACCTACCATGTTCTCCGTTTAAAAAAAAAAAAAAAACCTGAAGCATTAACTATTACTATTCTTTTTCACAGACCTCAAGAGGTTAAATAATCCACCCAAGGCCATACATACAGCAAGAGGTAAGACTTTCTGATTCTATAGCATTGTTCTCTCTACTCTGGAGTTGGAAATAGCCCACAAGAGTTTTACAATTTTCAATTTGCACAACATAAAAACATGGTGATCTACTAGGTGGTATCTGTAGTTGATACTGAAAGAAGTTGATAAAAAGGAAAACACAAAACTGCTTTGGAAGTCTAGCTGATATTATTTTGTGTGAGGACAGTCTAAGGAAGGAGTCCAGATCACACATTGTTTCTTCATTTAAACAATATAGCATCATACCCAAAGTAGACGGTGATACAGCACATTGCTCCCTCTAAGATAGCAATTCCATATGTGTGAAAGCCTTCTCAGAACCTTGGTGTGGAAGTTGATGATTTTTCCAGCCATGTACAGTACCTTATAGAGTATACCAAAAAAAAAAAAAATCTGAACCCAGTTGTGTTAGGAATCCACTGATTTTCTTGATGGGTCAAAAGTCAGGAATTTCAAGTAAAACATTCAAAACCATTGGGCTATCCTTAAGAAAATCAGTGTTCCTCAAAAAGTACTAAAATGTCATTCACTTAAGATGAAATGAATAGAATTGAAAAGTGAAGAGATTTCATCTTACAAAATATTAATCCACTTGCAATGTAATAGAACCTAGATTATGCAAACCTCCCAGCATTTTACATGAAACATCCTGTTGTTCTTTTAATTTTTTTTCCTCTTTCTCCCCCTTCTATGGAGGCAATGCCTTCAGAGTGACACAGGTATTGAGATTTGTAATAGTGTTTGTTTTTGTTTGTTTGTTTGTTTTTGTTTTTCGAGACAGGGGTTGAGATTTGTAATAATATTGTCAACCTGACAGAATCTAGAATCCTCTGAGAGATGGGTCTCTAGGTATTCCTGTGTGGGATTATCTTGCTTACAATAATTGAGGCAGGAATACCCACCCACTGTGGGTGGAGCCATTCCCTAACTGGAATCCTAGATTATGTACGTAACAGGAGAAAACTGAATTGAGCAGCTGTAAGCTATTGTCATCCTCTGCTGTCGCCACCACTGCTTTCCATTCTTGATACTTTTAATTGTGGAGACGTGTATTTGTGATGAAGGGATATGAGCATGTGATCACTGAGCCCAGATCAGGGTATCAGATCCCCGAGTTAGTTGTGAATCATCTGCTGTGGGTGCGGGAAACTGAACACTGGTCTTCTGCAAGAACAGTAGTTGTTTTTTCTTGATCACTGGGTCAGCTCCCCAGCTCCTTCCTGCATCTTCACTGCAGATGCTATGTGAGCTGCTCCTTCAAGCTCCTATCCCTGGGCTGTCTTAGTCCTGATAGACTCTACCCAGACCTGTGAACGAAATAAGCCCTTTCTCCCTTGAGTTTCTTTTCTCTGGTAATTTTATCACAGCCAAAGGAAGAATTGCATAGCAAAGGAAAGCAAGGAACTTGCTCTCCCATTCACTTAGAGAGTATCTGAGTTTATGTTCCTGGAGTATATCATCAACAACCAATAGTACTCTTCTAATCAATAAACAATCAATAGTTATCAGCTTTATTGAATTCCTATTCTAGTGAAGAGAAAAGATGGCCAAAAAGATAAACAAAACAGAGTATTATTAAACAGTGGGCAAGAATAAAAGTAGAGATAGTAGGAACTGAGATACAATTTTAAATTTAGTGATCATTTAACATAAGAGCCTGGGGTTTCTATAATGAACACACGAAGTGTTGTGAGCTCCTGAGGGTTAGGAGGGCATTTTCTCCATAGATTCTGGTGGTCTCAAGTTTTCCTTGCTTATAGGTGGCATTGTCACATCTGCAAATTTCCTTTTTTTCCCCCCTTTTGATTCATTCGGTTTCCAAGTGGTTTGCCTGTATGTATGTATGTTCTCAATGTGTGTGCCTGGTGACCCCTCAGAAGTCAAAAGAGGGTGTTGAATTTCCTAAAACTGGAATTACAGATGGTAGAGAGCCACCAAATGGATCCTAAAGACTGAACCCAGGTCTTTTCTAAGAGCAAGAAATGCTCTTAACCATCTCTTCAGCCTTTCAGTTTCCTCTTTTTGTAAGGTCATGGGGAAATTAGTTTCCTTTTCTCATGACCTCATTTTAGCTCAGTCATCGTAAAGAACTATTTCCAAATAAGAGCATATTCATAGACAACAGTATTTATACCTCAACATCCACTGAAGCATCACAAGTCAACCTATAATAAAAACGGAGCACAAAAATGCTTTAAAACAATTAAAAGTCCTGACAGTAGCATGTGAAGGGAGGAATCATTAAAGGGGTTGATTGCTCTCATCAGAGAATGGTGATGATGCCGGCTTCTATATTTAATAAAGGCTAATTTCAGCCCTACAAACATTCATAATGAATTATTTAATGTGAGCTGGCAGAAAAATTGTACCTATTGAACACAGATGTTGTCTTCTGTTGCTATTGGATTTGGCTATAAAAATCAGGAAGGAATTAGTACTCTCCTGGGAAAAAAGACAACACAAAGTCAGACAGGGGAAGGTCTCCTTCGCCTACCTGAAGCAACGCTGTGTACAATAAGCTAATACCTATGCCGGGAGTGGCCCAGACTTGCTGCCTTGTTTTTTTGTTTGTTTGTTTGTTTTTTAATAAAAATGAGACTAGTTTCTTTCCCTGAAGAAAATGCAAACCATTATCAAGCTAAATTTTCCCCTCTGCCAACGAGTTAGGGATAATGTGCACCATGTGGATCGAGCTGATCACATCAATTGCAGCTCCAAAGCACAATATCTGAGCATTTCCCGACTGAATACTCCTTTTCTGTATAAATTAAAAATGTCTAAAGGATGGTTTATTAGAAGGAGACTATCAAAGCTTTTCATGAACATGCTTTCTCTTTTGATCTATATAATTTTTAAGAAGTGTTAGACATCTCATGATTTCTAGCACAACTAGAATTTTAAATCTAAGAATCAGAAGGAAAAATGCAAATCAAGAGGCATGGTTCTGAAGCCATGTCTATTTTACCACAATTAGTCATTAGGCGGAGGAAATGAATTTCGGCGCACAGTCTACTTTAGCTAGCATTTTATCAACCAAAAAGCTCAAGTGAAAAAAAAAAGTATTTTTAATGTCTCCCAACACAAATTTCCAAGCTATGAGCCACAGAACTACAAAAAGGTGGACCTTAGCTTTCTGGCTGGTTTCGGGGAAGACAGAAAAATTATGTCTTTGAATTGGTGAGAGGGTTTTTTTTTTTTCCAAATAATTCTGACTTACATGTCAATCTCCAGGCTATTAAATACAATCTATGTGAGTTTTCAACCTCACCCAATAGAAAGACATTTAAGTCACAGCTGATACTTAGGAAAGATAACGACTTTGTATATAGATAAGCCTTAGAAGATTATAGTCCCTTGAAGGCATACTTGTGGATCACTGAGCCAGAACAGATCTGAAATGATTATTTATTCCTGAGACCGCTCTTCAAGTATGTCAATATTAAAATGTAAAGTAGCAGGAGATTGTTTTTTTAGATTCTAAATTGCAATTCTTCTGAAAAAAAGTTACGGTGCCTCCACAGACTTGAGAGATTACCAAAGACTAAGATGCCTGGTTTGCAACATAATTCTTAACTGCACTCTAAATACTTCTGTACTCACAGATAACTGTAGTCCTCACCCTGAATCAAAGAAAAAACTTCTTGGTGGTGCATATTTCAGAAATGTGCAAAGAGTCAAAGCGCAGACAAGTATTCAGAAGGGGCTCGGCTTCAATTGGTGCATCCGAAAGGCACCCCTTACACCTAAGGCTCAGGCAATGTCATGGATGACGGAATAGAAAGCTTGGAAGCCAGAGAACCAGAATTCCTGTCGCACGACAGTGCCCAACATACCATAGGGATGCTGTATCTCTAAATTCTCAACAATACGGTTACCAGAACTAGACCTACATAATGGCTACACTAGTTGGTATGCCAACATGGATGGGGGGGGAGGATTTCACAAGGTCTCACCCCTAATCAAGAGCTATTAGCAATTAAAGACTACTGATTGCTATAACAGTAACAATTACAGAAGAAGAGGTCATAAATTTGAGAGGGCTTGGAGGGACATAGGATTTGGATGGGAAAGGAGGGGTATGGAAATGACATAAGTAGAGGACTTGTATATGGAAGTCTCCAAAATAATACAAAGTAAGGCAAATAACTACAAAGAAATTTTATGGAACAAAGAAACTCGATGTTGTTGTCTCTTTGCAAATATCTCCAAGACTAGTTGTACTATCAGAGTGTCTACATAGATTGTTCAATAGATCATGCTCCGTTTGTTTGTCTGTTGTTTGTTTTCAAAAGATTCCTGTTTTGGTAATTGTAAGAAATGGTAGTAGACATAGATGACAGCCTAGCATTATCGTTATCAGAGAGGTTTCATCAGCAACTGATAGGTGTAGATGCAGAGACCCACAACTAAACAGTAGGCAGAGCTCGGGAATTCTGCAGAAGAGAATTCTCAGAATTTGAGGGGTTAAGCACACCATAAGAACTTGGCACACCGAATCAACTATCCTTCCAGGAGCTCACGGAGACTGAAGTGACAATCAGGGAGCCAATAAGGTCTGACTTAGGTTCCTTGCATATATGTTATGCTTGTGTAGTTTGGTGTCCTCGTGGGACTCCTGAGAGTGAGAGCAAGAACTGTCTCTGACTCTTTTGTCTGTTTTTGGGGTCCTTTTCCTCCTACTGGGTTGCCTTGGTCAGCCTTAATATGAGGGGATGTGCCTAGTCTTATAACTTGCTATTCCATAATTGGTTGATATCCCTGGAAGGCTTGACATTTTTGGAAGGGAAATGAAGGACGAGTGGCTCTATGGGAGAGGGAAGAGGGAGCTGGGGGGAAGAGGAAGAAGGGGAAATATTATATATGTTTATTGCAGAGATATGTAATATGTGGGAGAAGAAAAATTAAAAGGAAAAGAAAAAAATGGTAGTAGAACAATGCAATAATAATTGATATTTAACAGCGAGATATAAGATCACACTCT